CGCATGCTGCCTCCGTGTGTGTGTGTGTGCGCTCGCATTTGTTTGCAGCTGAAATTCAATCCCCAGGCCTGTGAGGATGAGCCAGTGTGAGTTAACAAAGAGGACAGGAAACGTCAGAGATCTTTAAACTCCTATCTGTCACACCTCTCACACTCATTTAATCCCCTTTCTTCTCCCCCTCACTTTACCTCGTATAGCGTGACTGCATACAGGTGGATTGTGGGTGTTTGTGGGGATGAGGGGGGAGTGGGGAGTCAGATTGGATTATACAGAACTACATGTGACTGGATAGCAAGAAAAACGTACAGAGTAATCTGTATGTACTTTGACAGTGACACATTTTTGTTGTTTTGTCTCTCCACTGGAGACATTGGATTAGAACATTGACAATGAGGTCAAAGTGCCACGACTGAGCTTTAATTTGACTGTGTTTACATCCACAGCGGTGAACTGTGTAGGAATCGTAGCTGTTTTTAACCATGGACTCTTTATTTAGCAAACCAGCTAAACGACTGGCTGCTCAAGTGCTTCTTGGGGCTTCGTGGGTGTGTGTCATGTTGTCATGACGTCAAGGTCACGGGGTCATTTGTGTCGATGCGGGTAAAACATGATGTCATGAGGCTGAAATATCAGAGCAAATTAGAAACATTACTGAAAAAGTGTGTGTGTTGAAGTCAATTAATCAACTTGGGCTCAGCGTAGTAGCAAGAAATGACCTGGAATGACCTGGAAAACCACAGAAGACAAGTGCAGTGGATAAAAGAGGAGCAGTTGAACTTTCCAGCAGGTAAAGAACAACCTCCAGAAAGAAACTGAAGATGTATAAATATCAAGACTCTTAATTTCTTAAGACAGATTTTAAAGGAAGTTGGTATTAAATGTGTGTATTATATATACTGTGTGTCTGTGTGTGTGTGTGTGTGTGTGGGGGGGGGGGGGGTTGCATATTATGTGCACATACCACACATCGTCATCCATGCAAGTGTCCACTCGGTGACAGTGCCTTCATGTGGTGTGTGTGTCAGTGTGTGTCAGTGTGTGTCAGTGTGTGAATCATAGGTAACAGACATGTAACTATGTCAGCATGAAGTTAAATTCACTGTGGAGCAGATGCAGATGTTTCATAGCAAACTTTTTGCTGGACAACTGCACATCCTCACACTCAGGCAGAATTAAATACACCAAGAGGTGGCCTGATACATACAATTAATGAGGTGGGAGACAGAGGCAAATAATGCAGGCACCTACCAACCAGTCAGACACTAGTATTTTCAGAAGCCATAAATCTTGAACATGATGTTGGACATGATCTGCACAATTTACTTTGGCTTTATAATAAAGATACATTTGATTTGAGTGAAAGCAGTCTTAAGTGAAGGTAGCCTAGTGCTCACCAGAGTACACACAGGAGTACATGTCATTAGCTTTGCGTATCCTCTGACAACATCTGCTTTTGTTCATTCTGCAGTCTGAGATCTCTGCGGTGTTGCATCACCTGTAAAGTCGAATATGAACTGCATTGGACTGGATTGTGCCGTTGTGCTGTGCTTATAAATGCTTCTTAAAAGTGACTACACAGCAGCTTCCAGTGAGTCATGTGTTTGAGTTTGGCCATGTAAAGGAGCTGAAACTCAAAACCCTCCTAGCTTTACAGCCTGTAGCTGCATGTGTGCACATTTTCTCTACACTCGCTCATCAGCATCGTTCCCTTTGCTTTGGGTGATTCACCCATTTCATTCCCCCCAAAGCTCTGTCACACACACACCCCCCCCCCTTCTATTTTGTCCTCCCTGCCTCACTCCATCTCTCTCTCTCACACACACACACACACACACACACACACACACACACACACACACACACACCTTCACTCAGTCATGCTGTGTGACCGACAGAAGGCCATACCTCCTGCTGTATGCTAATAGCCAGGTTGATACTCATTCTGCTGCCTTCTCCCTCGCTTTCTCTCTCTCTCTCTCTTTCTCTTTTACACACACACACACACACACACACACACACACACACACACACACACACAGTCAATAGAAACGGAGGTGTGTGGCTTTGAGGATTAGCATAGGTCTAACCTGTGAGAGAGAGAGAGAGAGAGAGAGAGAGAGAGAGAGGGGTGGGGGATGGGTGTACTGTAAGTGTAAGTGGAGGCTGGATGTCCTTTCATCCTTTCACCCTCTCCTCTTTTCTGTCTCCATCTTTATCTCTCCACTGTTTCCCTCCCCCACATTCTTGCCCTTACCCTGACACTCTCTCTCTCTCTCTCTCTCTCTCTCTCTCTCTCTCTCTCCATCCAGCTTATCCATTCCACTCAGAGGCATTTAACTCTCTCTACCTGTCTGTCCATCTGTCCTCTCCTCTATCCCCTTCCCCTCTCTTCCCCCACCCTCATCTCTTTACTGTAAAACCATTCTTCTTCTCTCCCCCATCTGTGACCCCTGATCTGTCATTCTGCTGCTTTTTTTTCCTCCTCTAGTTTTTCTTGTGCTTTCTGCTCGGTGACACAATTTCCCCTCTGCTCAGGAGACACAGACTCACATCGTCCATCGTGACATGTAGAATACGATGGTAAACAAGTCCTTCACAGTTTTTTTCTGCCTTTTCACAGAGAGAAAGTATTCATGCGTTCGCTTCAATGGAAATCGTCCACTGTGCTGCTACTGTTTCAAAGTTAGTCACTGAGGAGTTTAGGACATAAGACTGCTGCCCATGGCATGCTGCAGATTCAGTGAGAAAGCATGTCATTAATTGATTTCACTGTCCTGTGCACAATCTGTGTGGACACACACTGGGCACGGCAATAGTTCACGTAGTGTGTAAACCCATATAAAACCTCACAATATACTCACACATGGAAAAAAAAACGTCCTTTCAACAAGTGATTCTGTCTCACATTCAACTTTTGACTCTTATTTTACAGAAAACAAGACAAAATGCTGCCAGTACGGGTCGAGTGAGAGTCGTTTATGTTGTAGAGTCTCTTGTGTCATGAATTTTCCAGAGACAGATGCTGGCAGAGAAACTGACACACATGCCACGGATTTTACATTTCTGAAAAGACTTGATTCACATCAGAAACTGATTAAATCATCTCACTGCTTCGGCAGATTTGTTTTGGCTTGTATTAAGAAAATTAAATTTTGGGTCTCAGTTGGAGACTAGATGCTTAATTACAGAAATCAGATTATAAAACATCTGCCCAGTGATGGTCTGACCTGAAAGACTTCTGGTCTCAGCAACTGAAATGAGTGTTGAGATGCAACAGTTGTGTATCGTATTGTGTGTAGTATGTCATAGTGGAAGACAAACAAAAAAAAACTAAAAGACAAAGGCAGAATAACGTTTTATTTTGAAGTTCATGAGGAGTGCCACTCAGCCTGTGAAAACAGACGTTTAACCTACATGAAGCTTTGGAGGAGCTTATAGGAAATAACCCTGGTGATGTCATTAAGGTCATTCTGGCCTGTACCACAACCAAGAGCCTTTTTCTAAACGGGAGGCATGGAGTTAGTAAGACAGAGGCGTTTACCAGGTAATGGAAGTCTAACAGTAGATGCTTTTGAGTTGCATTATGGGAAATATATGATTTTGGAGCTTTGTTAAACGTGACTCTTGCAAGCCTCCAAAGTGCAATACTGAATTTCTGGAGTACCTCTCTAATTCTGCGCAGACATTGCTGTGGAGCCGTAATGAAGCCTCATTCCTGCGAGAAGGCTACATGATGCAACTTATTGTAAGCAGACATTTGCAACTTGAAGTAAATATGTTTTTCCGGGGTCTTACAAATATGAGAACTAATTTCACACGGATGTAAGAGGAATAAGGATGAAATGTTATTAGCACAAAGATTTGTGACCAAACACTGGCAAGTAAACTTCACTGAATTGCTGTCAAATTGCCATGTTCCCTGCCGTCCACACCGATTACAGAGCAAACCATGTCATGCAACAGTTCTATAGTTAGTCCAATCAATCAAATTGGCTGCTGGCAAAACACAGCAGGGCAGATGTGGGTGTTGAGAGCGGGGTGAACTGTACTAGAAAGAGACCACGGCTGGGATATTTTCCTGGGATGTCGGAGGATGTACAGTAAATATGGGAAGGATTTATTGGTTGCTGGCAAGCCGCTGTGATGTGGAAGCTACCCAGAAGATTAGTGTTATGGCCACACACACCACTTATATCACATTTAATCTACATGCGTTGGCTAGATGGAGCAGGGGAATATTAAAGGGGCAAACATTGGCATTACACACTCAAATTTGGTTGCTCATTATTGTCTGACCCATGTCACACTGATGCATTATTTCATTTAATTTCATTCAGTTTTACAGCTTATGCACATGTACATGTATCATCATGTGTGTGGTTTACATTCATTGTGTTCACAGCCAATTGAACCGGGTTTCAACAGAAGGTTGTATTGCCCTCTCTCTCCACCTGTGTCCCTTTCTGTTAATGAACATCCAGTATAAGCTGTCAGATCAGTGTGTGTTTGTGCGTGTGTGTGTGTGTGTGTGTGTGTGTGTTTGAGAGAGACTGTGTTGCATCCAGAGCTTCACCCAAGCTTGGCATGCCACCTCAAATCATATGCGAGAAAAGACGGGAACCATCAGATGAATTAAAATCTGTTGCTCCTCCTCCTCGCCTCTCTTCCCTCTCTCCATGTGGGCTTACGCATCCTCGCCTCGGCCAATCCTGCAGCCTGGCGCGGAGAGCGGGAGGCGGCGGGGCGAGGGTGGGGTAGAGGAGGAGGAAGAGAGAGCGGTGAGATGGAGGAGGAGGAGGAGGGGCAGGACCAGCAGCCTCTGGGGCTGGCGGCCCATCGCTCTTGTCACAGCTGGGAGGGGAGGAAGGGAGGGATGGAGGGAGGAGGAGGGAAGGGGGGGGGGTGAGAGGGAGGAGGTAATCCAATGAGACACAGAGAGGAGAGGCAGTGCGAGGGCAACGCCTCACAGCACCGGGAATCTCTCTCTATCTCCATCTCTCTCTCTTTCCCCCCTTCCTCTGTCTCTGAAGCGTAAAAACCAAAGGACTCTTATCTCCCATTCAGTCTCCTCTGTATGTGGCTGAGGGATACTCTCACATTTTTAAGCCTCTCTTTCTCCCACAGTTCAAATTTCTTTGTCAATTTTTAACTAATTTTGCATCTCTACTTTCTCAAGGATGAATTTTTGACTGAAAAACCAGGATTATTTTTGGTGTTTCCTGATTCTTTAGGAGGCGGCATCTTTTACTGAAGTCATCTTTGTTCTTGTGCTCACAGCTGCTGAGTGTACAGTGGCTGCTAGTGGGGAAATAGGTTAGTGTGCCTGTGTGTGCCCGGGCAGCAGAGGTGATTGAATGTTGAGTGCACGGAGGAGACGAAGAGGAGGGGGATGCCTTCCTGGCGGTAGCACTCTGTAGCCCTGCAACAATTTGGGGAGAAGGTGACTGGGGATGCTTCCGGTGAACTCCGACCTTTAGTCAAACTGTCAGCGACGAAGAAAAAGACAAAGGAAAAAGCAACTGACACAACAAATACAGACATTTGTTCCATTTTATTTTTAGCCGCGGAGCAGGGCTGACCTGTGTGTCCGCTGCGTGTGGACACCATGGACATCAACCTTCAGTCGCACCGATTTTACTTCCCCCAGATCTACTGTGCTGAACCGGGGGCACAGCCGCAGCTCACTGAGTTTAAAGTCAGGTAAGCCTCCAAGGGCGGGAAAGGTGTTTATGATGGATCCGCCAATATATAAGAGATCCATCGCTCATTCCTGAATGGAGGAGCCGTCCAGGTCTTATGTCTCCATTTGCTTTTGTCAGTATCAGGTGTCTTTTAGATCCACCCAAAATGTAGCTAGAGCTTCATGGTTGTCCAGCAGATCCCCAGCTGCTGCATATGAAGCGTTTCTGTGTATGATGAGTGCTGCTGTGAGCGGCTGGTTGCCCTTGCAGGGGGATGGGGCTGCATGCTAATGTGTTAGCTAGCTGTGCAGAAAAGTGTTAGGCTCCTGGGAGAAGCAGAGGGCATTGATGGCCTATGAAGGAGCTTGCCAAGTTTGGATGGAGGGGGTAACAGTGCCGCAGTTGTGTTATATTTGCATCCAGGGCCCTGTGGCCGCTGTAGCCCTCTTGTTGGCTGCCTCTGTGGCTCTTTTGTTCTCTGTGTTTGCATCTCTCTCTCTTTCTTTTTCTGCCACTCTTCCTCTCCAATCAAAAAAAAGTGCTCAGGGTGGCTTGTTGAATCCACAGCCGACGCCTGCCGTCATGGTCGCAGAGCGCTCAAAGACGCATGCTCAGATATGCAACAGCTTCCCTGCTCTTTGTCTTGTTGAGGTGTAATTGTGCAGAATGGAGCTGTTGCATTCAGGCGTGTAAGAAGTCAGACCTGATGCTGCGTGACGTCCACACAAGAAAATGTTTGTTTTCTCACGTAAATGAAGCACATGTTATTATTTTTGCCATATGTCTTGTATCCATCACCATCCATCCATCCATCCATCTCTGCATCCATAGCTGTAGATTTCCTTGTAATCTGGTGTGCGATACATTTGACGATTCCTCCTCTAACAGCTCTGATTAGTGCAGCTTTAAGGGACTCAGCTAGAGTTTTGCCACACTAAGCAGCTTTTTAGTTTGGCCGATGCTCTGGGCTGGAGCAGCTTTATGGGGCTACAGCGTGTCACTATCGCGGCCTGGCCGAGCTTCCCGATGGCGCCACGGGAGTCTGAGTCCGTTCACAGCGGGGCAGCATCACCAGGGGAAAGAGAGAGAACACAGTGAAACCGTGTACCCAATTCTTAAATTATCTGTATTACAAAATAAGGGGAAAACGAAATAGAGCTGCAGCTTTGCTCACTTCATTTAAGTTACCCTGGGGAATTACTTCATTTATCATCTTGTCACCTCTAGTGTGGTTCCATACATGTCATGCCTGCTCTCTTTAACCCATGTTAGTGTTTCGGTTTTTGGCCAGAAGGCTTATTTTCCCTGTTTAAAGGCTAATAAACAGTTAAAGCGGTTCGATCCGCTGCTGCCTCACCTCAGTGGCTTTCTATGAAATGACCGCATCAGCAAACATCAGAAAATGTCAGCAAATATCAGTGTTTGATGTGTGTGTGTGTGTGTGTGTGTGTATGTGTGTCGACTGCAGCTTTAATGGAAAAAAAAACAACTAAAAAACTACAGTCTCGCACGTTTCCGGCTGTGCCTCACACCTCTCTTCTTGGCTGCGAGAGGGACACATAAGGGCGGCACACACATACACACACAAACCCTGCATGCATTCATAGAGATTAAAAAGGTTTCAAGTGTGATGTGTTTTCACAAAACCAATTCAAGCCCTTAAGCAATATTAAATTTCCACAAATCAGATTTTATGCAATGAATACTCACTTTAACAGGCAGAGAGAATTTTTTGCACACACATAAACAAACAGGCTGCTGTATCTGTTCCTCTGCAGAGTAATCACTTTTCATATTTTTCCTAAATGTTAAAGTTCAGCACACTGTGAACAGGAAATGGATACAGCTACGCAGCAGCATAATCCATATTATTAACAAGGCGAGTTTATTAGAGCTGGCGTGAGAGGGAAGGAGACGAAGAGAGATTGGAGATAGAAAAATGAGAAACCAAGCGAGACAGAGAGGAAGAGAGAGGGAGAGGAGGGAAATTGGATGAGAGGGAGAGAAAATACAAGACCAGGGGAGAGAGGGGGGATGGTGAGAAAAGCAAAGCTAAGCAAAAGGAAAAGAGAGTGAATTGTAAATGTGAGAAGGAAACGGTCAGATGGATGGATGTGGAATTAGAGGAGAAAAGAGGAGCTGGTGTGATTGTGGAAAAAAAAAAGAAATGAAAATATGTTTGAACATGGTTTTGGCGTGGCACACGCCTTGGAAAAACCTTTTGCGAGGGATGCTGGGATATTAGAGACAGCCTGGGCTCCATGGTGACCGAGGTAGACTTAGCCACAGTATAGCCAGATAACCATGACAACCAGCTCTGGCCTATCCATGAGAGCACACATACACAAAGAGTACATGTATGCACAGAGATGCACACATACAAAAAACAAATAGACAGAGAGAGAAAGAGGCCTGCTGCTTCAGTGCCTCCTCAGGCTGCAAGCAGAAGCCCAGCCTGCTTGGTAAAGTGTTGTGTGTGTGTGTGTGTGAGACTGTATGAAAAAAAAAAGTTTTTAAAGCAGGTCATAATTTCAGTTTAATGGTCTATATGTCAATTTTCAGCTGCTTGTTAGTGAGCAAAGCAGCCTATTTTGTTGGACATGTGTTTTAATTTTTATTGGCAAAAACTAAAACTTTAAAAAATTACTAAAATATTTCAAATGCTTCTGTCTGTGTCAAACAGAGAGAGAGAAAAAAAGTTTACTAAATCTGAATGCCAAATAATTAAAAAAAAAATTGTTTATTTATTTATTTATTTTATATTTTTTATTTTAACCAATGTTAACATTGGCAATAATACCATTAGTGATGTGGCTGTGCTGAAGCTAGCTATCAGGTAGCTGCCATCAGCCATTAGCTATTAGCCACTCTTCCCGTCAGGTGTGATCCACCGCTGGAACTTCAATCGACATAGCAATAGATAATGTAACAAGCAAGATTTTAGCTAAATCAACTACTATTAACCACAAACGTTAGCCTAAAGAAGACAATGTTAGCCTTTGTGAACGCTGTGTGTGGAGTGTTGCTACAACAGATGCCAGCTGTCGCACTTCACAAATAATAATGGAAACAACACAAAGTTAACAAGTGAAACTCAGAGTGCAGTGTACAGATCCAGATGCCTGTCTTTGAGGTGCTTAGATAAGTTTGAGGTGTTTCCTCCTTTCATATGAAATGCTCTGTGACACTGTTTGCATACTGGCTTTTGGTTGCCTATAACTCGTCCCTGTTGATCAGCGTCAAATACAAAATATCTCTATACACGAATCTCGCAGTTTTTTTTCCTCGCAGAAGTCATACGGCGCCTGCGGTCTCCTTCTCTTTGAGTTTGATTTCAGACGACGACACAAATTATGTAACATTTCAGAATATTGGCATTAACTTGGCGCTGAAGTATTGGTTCTCATGACATATCTCCTCACAAGTAAAGACAGGAGCATTATGAAGTTGCAGCTGCGAAATTGCTTCGAGGTCAGGGTGGGTTTTTGGGTCAGAAAGGTATTAAATCGTGACAAGAGAGATTGTTCTTTGTTTTCCATTTCCTATTGGTAGTAATATTTGGTTTCATTTAACCGTGACAGTCAGTTTTCCCAAACCTTATGTTTTTTTGTTTTTTTTTAACACTAACCACAATTTTTTGCTAACCTTAGCAAACTAGTTTTAGGTTTACACCTAAGTAAACCTTAACCATAGCACTGGAAGATTAGAAGATGCTCAAATTAATCATTTATTTAACAACACTGGCATGGCCCTGCTGATAGCGCTGTCAAATCATATTTTTTGAATTAGTAGTAATAGTTTTAGAAGACAGTGACAAACCTTGACTGTAGACCTTTTTTTCACTGCAAACATTTTTGACTCGTCAGAGAAGGAGAAGCACAGGTGAAACAAATTTTTGTTAACGATGGGCCCAGTCATGACGGCGAGCCAGCATGAACAACCGGGACACTGGAAGTAGCTCACTTAAATGGAATGCAGTCGTTAATGTTTATCAATTACACCTGTGCTGTTGCTGCTGTGACATGCTGAAATGTGAAAACTGGCCGACTTTGTTGTTCAGTTTAGAGAAACGTGTTGTGTTCAGCTAGAAAGTCACAGGTCATTTTTCATCAGCTTACCTCAACATGGCCTGTGTGTAACAACAAGGAGATACGATTCTTCTTGAAAAGAAAGGATGTGAATAGAGGATGGTTGCTTTTTTTTCCCTAGTGTCTGATTAAATCACGATATCTTTGGATTTTCTGACCTCCCCACCCCCACTTCAAAAAAAAAAAAAAAGGATTTCAGTTGTACTGGCCGATTCTCCCCTCAGCTCACCCACTTCATTCACCTTGAAAGGCTTTGACTTAAATCCTAGAGCTGCTGTAATGTAAGTTATTGCTTGAGGATTATGTCTTGGGTTGATGCAAGGGCTTTCTGTTTTTCAGGATTCCCAGAGGAGACCAAATGTCTGTGCTATTCCCTCAGCGGAGTGTGGTCTGACAGATTAGAGATGGTGTCCACTGCACTCGCATGTCAAACATAAGAAAGCACTACTGGAAATTTGTAAAATATTCTGGGTCATTGAATCCGCTGACTGATCATTTGTGGCACAAATAGGATGACCGCATGTCCACAATCGGTCTGTGTGTTTTTCAGAGAAGGATGAGACTGCCAATTACAGATGCTTGTGAGTGTGTGAGATATGCAGACTATCTATCAGGTCCTGCTGTGGTCTGCAATAGAGAGCACTTAACCTAATGGCCTTCAGCAAACGCTCAGCTGTAAAATGGATCACATGTGAACATGTCTGCGTTGTGTGCGCTTGTGTTTGTGTGTGTGTTTGTGTGTGAGGCTCTACAGTAAGTAGCAGCAGTTAAATGGCATCATGGGGGAGAGAGAGCGCAGCCTCAGGGCATCTCCGCAGCTTCCGTTTTCTCCTTCCCTCCACTCTATCCTTCTTCACTTTCTTCTTCCACGGACGAGGAAGTGTTTCTTTTAGGCAGTCTGAGTGTTAATGCTCCAGTTACGCTCTCACCT